CATAGGTAATCATATGTACATTGGGTATAGAAAACAATCACCCCCTTTTTAAAATAATCATATGTTACTTTACAGCCTGATATGAAAACACACACGGTTTTTGTTTTATCCAGCTGTATTTACTTAGTGCAACTTATAAATCCAAGTGAAAGATGGGACACCAACATGTCAGAAAAAAAATTTAAAAATTCAAAAGCAGAATCAGTGAGTTGGAGTAGGATCACCCCGTGTCAGTATTTTGTTGAACCACCTTTTGCTTTAATTCCACCCTTTTAGTCTGTTGGGTTATGTCTCTACTAACTTTGCACATCTAGACTTTGCAATATATGCCCACTCTTCTTTGCAGAGCTGCTCAAGTTCAGTTAAGTTTGATGGTGACCATTTGTGGACTGCAGTCTTCAAGTCATTCCACAGATTTTCATTGGGGTTTAAGTCTGGGCTCTGACTAGGCCATGCAAGGACATTCACCTTTTGATCCTTCAACCACTGTTTGGTCATTTTTTTTGCTGTGTGCTTTGGGTCATTGTCATGTTGGAAGGTAAACCTTATTCCCATTGACAACTTTCTGGCAGAAAGTTTTTCCCCATCCATTTTTCTTTCTATCCTGACAAGTGCTCCAGTTCTTGCTGCAGAGAAAACCCCCTATAACAGGATATTACCACCTCCATGTTTTACTGTAGGATACAAAACTTAAATTTTGGTTTCTTTGTATGTATGGATTGCATAGGTTGTTACAAACATGGTGAAAATTTCATTTCAATAGCACCTTTAGAAATATATTTACCGAGAAAAATGGGGACGTATTCAATACTTATTTTACCCGCTGTATTTATATCAATGTGTGTACTGCTTTTAATAAGAAACAGAAAAGCTTAGCATTTTCTCAATCATTCTCAAATTTGTTCTCTAAGGGTACCTCTGCCGATTGAGCTACCTCCTGTGTTCACAATGCAGTAGGGTAGCTGCTTGGTACAGGACTCTGAAGCAAATGGAGATCACTGTAGTAGTGGTACCTGTTACAGTAATTTCCAGCTTCTAGGGTGGAGGTCAGCAACCAGTTGATTACGGCCAGGTGATTGGTAGATCGTGATCTGGGCTTGCTGACCCACCATCCCAGAGCATCAGAGTGCAATGCAGAGGAACTATTGTAAACTTGGAGCTGTAGTAGGGAGCAAGAGCCGCATAAGCTGATGCCTCCTCTGTAGTGCTGGCTCCTGTCCCATGTGGAGTGATACCGACTGCTCTCCACTTGTTATTCTGGCTAGCGGTCTCCAGAGTGGTGCCAGCAGCAGGAAAGAACAGATCTTCAGTTCAGTGTGAAGCAATTGACTGCCCATAATAGTATAGGGCTGCTTTCACACTGATGTGCAGTGCAGTGTACCTGCAGCTTTTCTGCGAGTTTGCTGCACTTAGCCATAGACCTCTATTATATCCTGCAGGTTTGGCACACTTTCTGAAAGTGCACCAAAACGCCAAGAATTTTGGTGCCCTTTCAAAAAGTGCACTACACCTGCAGGATATCCTAAAAGTCTATGGCAAATCACAACTAACCAGGAAAGTTGCAGATGCACTGCACTGCACCCGCTGTGCAGGTAAACCGCAGTACATCAGTGTGAAAACAGCCTAACCTTATATTGGGCTTAGAACAGTAAGGGTTAATTTACATTTGCAGTTTGGGGTGTAGTAAAATCCTATAGTTAAGACATGTTTTTACCATCCCTGTCCCAACCTCACCCCCTTTAGTAGCAGTGGCCAGGAGTGTACACGTGGCAGCTGTAGCAGAAGTTGTACATCATGTCATGGTTGGTGGCTATAGCACTTGCCAAGCATGACCCATTCAATTGAATGAGGCCACTCTGCAAATGTCCTGAAACCTTGTGCAGTACAGCAAACAATGGGTAAAGTAGGCAGCACTACCTGCTTTAACCCCTTGGACCCTGCAGAAGTATACAGTTGCGGAGTGCTTGCAGAGTGCCCCGTATACTTGAATAGGTCATGATTGGCAGGTGGTAGCACCCGTCAAATACAACATGGGGTTTAATTCCTGCTGCAACATGTGTACACCTTTGGCTGCTGACTCAGAAGCTATAGGATGTAGGATTGGGGCCAGTAAAACTGCAGGTTTTTACCACCCCCAAATTTACATATGAATGAGCCCTAAGGGTGCCTCTGCTTAATGCAGCTAAGGGCTTATTCACAAGTGTAGCAGGCACTGCTGCTCCTCTGAAAAGTGATTCAAGTGTGTTTGACAGGTGGTTAGGAGGTGATATGTTGCCTGCACACCACCTGCTTTAAACCCATGCCATACAATGCACACAATTGTGACATAGTAGTACGACAATTAGAGGTTTAAATCAGGTGTGAGGAAGCGACACTGTGCCTGGTGATCTTTGATTTCTCCCATGTTGTTCAGGTGGATCTCCACCTCTTTAAGGTTGCTTGCCCTTGTTCTAGGGGGATCCCACAGGTATGGCACATATGTACTAACATTGGTCCAAGCTGGAAAAAATGTACTGTAGCTATGTAATTATTGCTATACCTGGATTCAGCTTTAAAAAGGAACTCCAGGCACAGCTGTTAGCTGTCAAATGTGGTCCCCAATATCACCAAAGATCTGCACATAATGTTCAATATATGAAATAGCAGTGTAGAAATGGAAAACCCACATACTCCTGCGCTTAGGGATGGACTCAATGTTGTTAGGACCACATAACGAAATTCTTGGGATGTGCATGCCTTGCTGCCCTCAAAAGACTGGGGGGAGTCCAAATATGCTGAATAGAGAAAAACAAACAGAGGGCGCATCAGCCTAGTGCATTACCTCGAAGGAAGAGGCTAGTCCTCGAAACACGTCAGACTGTTGGATGTCCAGAGTTCCCATTACGGACAGATATGTAGTGCGAATTGGACAGAGCTGTTCCTTCATGATGTGCCTTTGACTGTATTGACAATTTGTGAGTACAATACCTACTTTTAACATTTAATAAACATATTTTTAAGGTAATGCACTAGGCTGGTGTGCCCTCTGTTTTCTCTATTCAATATATGAAATGCTTGACTTGCCAGAAATTGTAGACCTAATAGAGGAAATGAGGGTCAGAGAGTGTGCACATGCTACATTTTTGGCTGGGGATATGCTGCAGAAGACAATACAAAGATGGGAACATGTTACATGAGGGTGGTAGAGATCAATGCTATTACCCTATTCAGTGTTCCCACTACAGACTACCGAGGGCTGCACATCATATACCAAAGGGCTGCAGGTGGGGCACTAGGACTCTAGGATATGTTAGTGCCACAATAGTTATTGGCTTCCCTGTCACTTCACTAACAATTTTATGTGCCCCCTCTAGTGACTGCCAGTCTCTGCACATGAGATATGAGCGTGCTAAATATAACATTTTTAAAAGATGTCAAATGATAACATGTTAACAAGGTAATGTTACTGTATGACTTGCTTAAAGTATAATGCTGCATGATCTAAGGTGGATAAAGTGTAATGGTTCAAGAAATGCAGTGCTGACAATCTGTGCTAATTACTATAGTAAGGGTAGATTGCAAGAATATCTAATCCTGCCACCAGCCTCTGTTTTACACATGATCAGACAAATCCTGTCCAAATGTTGAAAAGCATACTATTTATGAACAGTGGTGGGAGCAAAACTTACATTAAAGTCAACTAATCTTCCATAGAAGAATACAGAATGTTCCACAGTATGAATTGTTCAAAGCTAGTTGTGCTGTAGCTAAAACCATGAAAAGTCAGATCCTTTGTGATATTCAATGAAAGACTTTGGCCAATTCTGAATTGTACCCTACTGATTACGCCTGCCTTTCATTTAAAAGGTGATGGGATATTCACTGTGCTTTGGGTGTTATTGTTATGATAGAATTTCTCAAAGGAGTATTGAGTAAATGTGTGTTGTACATCCCCATCACTTTATTTTATTTCTTTCTTAATGGTCATTTCAACAGCCAACTGGGAAATATTTACATTTTTAAAGTCTTGGAGCTCCATCTACTGACTGCTTAGGGGAAACTCACCCCAAATATTTAAAGACTACCTAAAACAATTACAATACATTTTAGTTAGACTTGACTTTTCAACAACTTGCTACAGTTACAAGTGGATCAGCTAGTAGAATTAAGAATTAGTTTGTGTAATTTCCCTTAAAAAAAATAATTTGTGCAGTGTTCTTTTTTTTTTTTTTTTTTTTTTTTTTTTTTTTTTTTTTTTTTGCATTATTGCTAGTTTATGAACTCTTATTCAATTATCCTCTTTTAGATTTCTGCATAATCAACTCAGAAGATATGATCTTAGGTTGTCTCCATTATTTTGTTATTAATATTAGTTATACATGTAATTGTCTTCCTTACCTTTACTGAACTAATAGCCTAATCAATCAGTTACATGGAAAACGCCTGTAGTTATCAGAATCTTCTCTTTTTTCTTTTCTTTTTTTGAAAAAACCTTTTGGTGTTTTCTGTAATTGCTGTTCAATGGAAAATTTGTTTTTAGTAACCTTTTAAAGATTACATAGAGTGCTCAGCATAAATGAGTACACCCCTTTTGAAAAGTAAGATTTTAGTCAATATCTCAATGAACACAAGAACAATTTACAACATCTTGACAAAACTGAGTTTTATAAAACATTTGTTTAGCTGATTACATGAAAGTAAGGTTAATATAACTTAGATTACAAAATCTTCAGTTTTACTTAAGTTAATTGATACAAAAATTATTACACCCCACAATGAAAACTACTACATCTGGTATTTTGTATGACCTCCATGATTTGTAAGGACAGCACCAAGTCTTCTAGGCATGGAATGAACAAGTTGGCGACATATTGCAACATCTAATTTTCCATTCTTTAAGAATGACCTCTTTTAGAGCCTGGATGCTGGATGGAGAGTGATGCTCAACTTGTCTCTTCAGAATTACCCATAGGTGTTCAATTGGATTCAGATCAGGAGACATACTTTCACCTTGTTCTTCTTCAGAAATCCAACAGTGGCCTTAGATGTGTGTTTTGGATCGTTGTCTTGTTGAAAAAGTGCATGACGACCAAGGGCACGGAGTGATGGTAGCATTTTCTCTTTCAATACAGAGCAATATATCTGTGAATTCATGATACCATCAATGAAATGCAGCTCCCTGACCCCAGCAGCACTCATGCAGCCTCACAGAAGGACACTGCCACCATGTTACACTGTAGGCACCATGCATTTTTATTTGTTCTCCTCACCTTTGCAACACAATACAGTTTTTAAAACCATCAGTTCCAAAAACATTTATCTTGGTCTCATCACTCCAGAGTACAGAGTCCCAGTAGTCTTCTTTTTCAGCATGGGCCCTGGCAAATTCTATGCAAGCTTTTTTGTGCATTGGCTTTAGGAGAGGCTTCCTTCATGGACAACACCCATGCATGTCATTCCTCTGCAGTGTACACCGTATTGTGTCACAGGAAACAATCATCTCAGTTTGGCTTTCTACTTCTTTAGCTAACTGCAGTGAACTTGCATGGCAATTTTCTTCAACCCTTCTCATCAGAAGATGTGTCGAGGTGTTAATATTTGTGGACAGCCTGGACGTCTCTCTGAGATGGTTGCAGTTCCATCTTTCTTAAATGTTTGTATCACTTTTGCTACAGTATTTTGACTGAAAGTAAAGCTTTGCTGATCATCTTGTAGTTTTCACCTTTCTTGTGTAAAGAAATGATTTTCTTTCTCAGGCCTTGTGACATTTCTCTTCCATGTGCTGCCATTGCTGACAGCATGAAATGGGAAGGGGTTTTCTTTGTTAAGTAACACCTTTTATAATTAGCTGTCTGCTGGACATCTGTTTAATGAATAATTAGACTCACCTGTAGTTGAATTCTTGTTTATTAGGATTTTATTGTCTAAAATTTAGCTTTGCTCCTAAGACTTTCATTGGCATGTATTCATTTTTGTCTTGAATGAATTTGTTAGGAAAAAACTTTTTTTTGTGAGTGCAAAATAACAAATCTTGTTTGAAATCAATTGCCCACATTTGTGGGAGTATTGTGTAGTATAGTGTTGCATAGAAAAAGTTGATTCTGAAAGGAAAGTAAAGGTTTTCTGACAAATCTGTTGAGGTGTACTCATGTATGCTGAGTACTGTTTGTCCTTTTCATATTTACTACTATGAGCCACCAGGTGGCATGCACTAGAGAAGTGTAACAGGTTCGAGTATCTCGATTAACAGAGTATAGCACTGAGATGTAATTTCTATGATATCCTGTGTCTGCGCTCTTGATAACCGTGCACATAGCAAAACATGTACATAATTATGCATTGTATTTTGTTCCCCGGTGTGCAATGTCATGCCACCTATTCTGATTGTCTCCTCCCATGTGAAGTTCCATGTCGTGCACTCCTATGCATCTTCCTTTACTTATAATATTTCCACTATTGCCACTCTTGCTTTTAATTTCTTCTGCTACAACTTTTTACCTGCTCTCGCTCAAACCCAAGGTCTGTGGCAAATGTAGTGTCTGCGAAATCCAGTGTTGACTGCAATGTAAGTAGGTGCCACGAGTTCTCCACCAATACAGGGGCGGACTGGCCATTTGGAAACTCGGGCACTGCCCGAGGGCCCGGGGTCATTAGGGGGCCCCATGAGATGCCCTGGTACCTTTTTCATAGGCTTTTTTGAGTTTGGGCAAGGACACATGATCCCCTATTGCCCGGGGGCCCCATGAGTCCACCCCTGCTCCAATGTTGTTCTGTCTCTTGTCCACGCCACCATTCACAGTAAATAAACTTGTATCTGTACATAACAAGGGTGTCTCCATGAAGGTGGCCTGTGCTGGGCTTTCTACATTAAAACCCAGCATGCTTTGTATGGCATACATTATTAATGGAACTGACACTATTTATATTGTGCATACGTTCTGGACACATTTAAAAATGCACCTGAAAGCATCTGGTGTGAACAAGCCCTCAAACTTGAAATATGTCTTCATTTTGGGTAGAAATGCTGTGTCTTATTAGGAACATTTTCTTTCATTTCCTGTAGACTAAACAGCACGTGATAAGATAGATAGATAGATATCTTTCTCATGTAAGGGAAATCCACTCTTAATTACGGGAACATGCTTTCCCAGTGGAAGGTTATTCACTCTATTTTTGTTCTGGTATCAACTCAAAATGTTGGATGTACCCTTATTTTCATTCCCATTATTATGTCATGTAGCTGATCTCATTTAGCTGTCACTTGGGAGATTCCCCAGCCCAAACGGAAAACAGGGTGAGGTCATTACCCAAATATGACCAACGCCCATATTTGAGAAATAAATGGTCACTGGGTAAGTGGAACCTTATGGGGAACTGAGAGACTTGATCCCTGTCAAGGTGACATTGCATGGCAGGGGGCAGATTCAAACGCTGCTCTTTTACTGAATAGTGGCTATGGATCCACCCACTGTCATGCACTGTCAATCAAAAGTAAAGCAGACCTGATGAGGAGCTAGTTCTCTATCAGGCTCTGCCCACCGCAGTACAAACTCTTTGGTCATGTACCTGTCATTGTGATGGGCACAGTGGTTGGGGAGGGACGGAGGGAGTAAGTGCACTGAGGAAGGAATATCCACAGTGTCATTACTTTATAAAGATAAAGGGGCAAGGCAGATCTGAAAGCTTGAGACAGTATTATTCTATTAATCTTCATTTGACTTGTCTGAATTCTACCATGAGCAGGGGTGAGGATCCTGAGAAATTTGAGCCACTAGTTATTTCGGAGGCCTGTTTTTGTTCTTATCAAAATCCAGATGATTATGCTTTTCTAACAAAAAAAAATTGTGAGTTAATTAATTTTAGTGATAGCTTGTTTTGTGGCTGTAACTACAGATTTTTGTATCAAATATGTATTGCGTTGTATTTTTTTAGGCAGCTTTCACATGGATCAGGACTGATCTGAGTATATATTCTTATCTGTTATTTCTGTACTGTTGGGCACTCTACTATTTGTGCTGGACTGTGCCTTCTGACCTACAGCCACGAAAGCAATGTGATGAGTAGCTGGGAACACTATTTGGCAATTCATGCCGGTATGTACAGGCTGTTAAGTACTTTGAGGATGAAGGTCAGAACATTTATTGAACATAGGCGTGCCCGATAAGACAAACCTTTGCAAAGTGGTTCAGAGCTGAGTTTAGGAATGAGTGTGTGTATACAGTACATATGTTCACATACAGAAATGTGTGGTGCAACAGTGTTTTTCCGTACTAGCTTTAGAAAACAAAAAAAATCTAGGATGTGCTGACAGTACAGTACTTTTATATGAGGACTCTAGGACAAGCATGTTTATTGAACTCTTGAAGCTATGCCAGATGAGATAAAACTTTGCACAATGGTTCATTTGAGCTTGGCGGTTTGTGTATGTGTGTGTGTGTGTGTGTGTGTGTGTATGTATGTGTGTATGTATATGTATATATAATATAGACACACACACAACCCTGGACAAAAGTTTTGAGAATTACATAAATATGTCATTCTCGGTTTTTGTGTTAGCAATTTGCATATATTCCACAATGTTATGAAGAGTGATCAGATAGTTACATACAGTAGTTAGTCCGGCTGAAAAAAAGACAAACGTCTTTATAATCCTATACCCACAGTTGATGCAGAGGAATGCAAAAAAAATCCAGCAAAGCACGATCCAGTTTGCTCCTGCAAGGGAAAGCATTCCTTCCTAATCTCCCGAGAGGCAATCGGATATTCCCTGGATCAACTTTACCTATAAATGTTAGTATCCAGTTATATTCTGTGTATCTAAGAAATAATCCAGGCCTTTTTTAACCACTTGTTTACCAGGCACTTTCACCCCCTTCCTGCCCAGGCCAATTTTCAGCTGTCAGCGCTGTCGCACTTTGAATGACAATTGCGCGGGGTCATGCAAAACTGTGCTCATATGAAAACTTTATAATTTTTTTGAGACAGATAGAGCTTTCTTTTGGTGGTATTTAATCACCACTGGGTTTATTTTTTGCTAAACAAACCAAAAACAACAGAAATTTTTTTTTTAAAAATAGTTTTTTTCTTAGTTTCTGTTATACCATTTTGTAAATGAGTAATTTTTCTCCTTCACTGATGTGTGCTAATGAGGCTGCAGTGATGGGCACTGATAGGTTGCACTGATGGGCACTGATAAGGAGGCACTGGTAGGTGGCACTGATGGCATTGACAAGCATCACTGGTGGGCATTGACAGACATCACTGATGGGCACCGAAAGGCGGTACTCATATATGGCACTGTTAGGCAGCACTGACTGGCACTGTTAGGCAGCACTAGGACTGGCACTGTTAGGCGGCACTGATAAGGTGGCACTGACTGTCAGCACTCATAGGTGGCACCGACTAGCACTGATAGGTGGCACTGACTGGTATTGATAGTTGGCACTGAAAGGCAGCTCAGATAGGCACTGATATGTGGCATTGATGTGCACTGATATGTGGCATTGATGTGCACTGATGGGCACTGACAGTTGGCATTGATGGACACTGACAGGTGGCACTGATGGGGCTACACTGATCATCAAGGCACTGATCATCAGTACCGTGATGATCAGTGTAATGTCCCCTCTGAGGAATGCCGATTACCGTCTCTCATCTCCTCACCAGCTCTCCTCATAAGCGTGACAGCTCGTGAGGAGAGGAATGCCGATAACCAGCATTTCCTTATTTATATGCGATCAGCTGTGTTTGGACACAGCTGATCACATGACAGAGCCAAAGTCATCGGCTCTTTCTGCTGATCGGTGATCCGCTGTGTCCCAGGGACACAGCGCACCACCAACCACTGCGCTGCGTGCCCCCGGGGGCGCACACACGCAGTTAGAGTGGGAGAACGTCATATGATGTCCTCCCAAAACGAAAGAACCACCGCCCATCCGTCATTACCTTATATGGCAGGTGGGAGGCGGTTAAAGAAATCCACTGAGCTGGCCAGAACCAACTCTTGAGGGAGTTTATTCCACATTTTCACAGCTTTTACTGTGAACAAACCTTTCAGAATTTGGTGATTAAATCTTTTTTTCCTCTAGATGTAAAGTTTGCCCCCTTGTCCTGTGTGTTCACCTCAGGGTGAATACATTTTGAAAAATATAAAACCAGCATGATACTTCAAATGGATTGAAGTTCACAATGCAACAATTTTAACCCGACATGTTTTGCCAAAGTTCTGGCTTCTTCAGGAGATTTACAGGCAGTTGCATGTATTTGCCACTTATGAGGGTATAAAAGTGGATGTTTGTTTGTTGGGTTTTCCATATATCAAGACACACCTGTTTTCTAGTTGCAATTACAATGAACTACCTGTAAATTTCCTGAAGA